CAAGCCTTGTTCAGCAGCAGCTACACTTCCTCCGTGTCCTGAGGAAGAATAACCTGGACCAGAAGCTGATGCTGGCCTTCTACTGCATCCCTTGCATCCCTCTGGCCATTCAGACTGTTAACAAACACTATCCCTCCCACACCCCACCCCTACCCACCCACTTACCAATCTGAGCCATGGTCTGATTAACCTTCATCAGTTTGCAAACTGTAATGTGCGCCCTCCTCCTGTTTTGTATATGGTTCTCTTGTTTGTATGTACTCCTCTTGGCTGTTATTAATTCTGTCTATACAACTGTTTATATTTTATTCCACACACACATTCACCAGTGTGTGAATGTGTGTGTGAATGGGTGGATGACTGGATGTGTAAAGCGCTTTTACCATTTACCATTTCGTGCACAGTTAGTGTGGAGCACCCACAATTTCACCGTACATGTACAATGACAATAAAAGGCTATTCTACTTTTCATGTAACCTATCAACATTTATTTCTCTATACATTTCTTTGTGATGGACCGTACATCATTTGACATGTAAAGCGAATAGATATGTGCTAAAGCCAGTTCATTCTAAACTGAACCCTTATGATAGTGCCAGTGTTACAGTTCCCAACATTTTGCAATTCTTCTTCATGTAACGAGGAGCCTAGAAGTCAAAATCTGAACCTAAAATTATCACAACTGACGATAAAATGTCCAAACCATATCATCTGTCGCTAAAAATGAGTTTAGTTAGTTACTTAAAATATGCACAGTTGTCAGTATTGTGAGCTCTTTTATTGGTGCAATGTTATTTATCTGATTGCTCTGCTAAAAGCCTGCCACATCCAGAGCAGCACTCATAAAGTACACAATAAAGTACACTTTCTTCTTCTTCTTCATAACCGTCGGAGGTTTACTACACTATTTTATTTTGGTTCTGGTATTTTATTTTGAAGGAGAAACCCGGGCTTCCCGTAAAACAGTTGCGACATTTTGTAGCTTGGCGCGACTTCCTGGAAGATTGACAGCCCCTGGTTCAGTAACGGAATCGAGAGCTTCCGTTGTTGAGCGAAGCCTGCGTTAAAAAAAGAAATAATTCCCTGCTTTGAAAGTGTCCACGAAGAACGCCCACTCTGGATTTTACACGGACCTACAGGGTATGAACGTGGAGTGGACGCTTCAAACAAAGTGTAAGAGGAGGTAGACCTGTACGTTTGATGGCTGCTGGGGATGGAGCCCAGCTGCCTGCCACAGTAGCGGCCAGTCGTAGCGTGGAAAAAGCGCTCGAGGAGGCTGCCACGAGCGGGGCTCTCAACTTGTCAAACCGTAAACTGAAGGAGTTTCCTCGGAGCGCCAAGAACTATGACCTGTCCGACATAACACACGCAGGTTAGCTTGTTTTTCACTTTTGTAAGTAAGTTGAAAAAGCCTGCCATCATGCTAGCTTTAATTATGAGAGACGCCTTTTGTTGTATCGCCACCTGCTTCTTTCTGCTCAGGGCGAACAGTCATCCTTCCCCTCCCCGCCGCGTTGCACAACACTGTTTTCAAAGAAACAAGTTTCCCCGATCCTGTCATGGCTACATGGCCAGCCTCTCTACGTTTTAACTGGCTTGTTTTATATGTTTCATAGCGACTTCTTGCTTCGGCAGGTTAACGTCACTAACCGTATGAACGTCAAGTATCTCTAACAGGGATTCAGCCTCGTACAGCTGGCCCGTCTCCCACCGGCCTGAGCGGCGCCGTTAGCGGCCAATATAACTCCCAAATACGTTTCTGCTTAAGAGCTTCAAACATATGAGGTTGTAGTTCCGTTTCTAGTTGAGCACAGTCATAAGTATCGCTTTTAAGAAAGCTGCTATTCTCAGGAAGCTAACTTCCAACGAGAAAAGGAAAAAACGCCAGACGAGTTCCTCTTCCTCAACTTATCATGTGAAACCCTCAACGGGGTTTAGACTTTGTGTTTACCGGTGATTCATGCTAGTTATCATTATCAAAGCAGAGTGCTGTTGGTAACAGAGTAAAAGTGGTAAAAACAGCGAAGTAGGTGTGGATTAGCCTAGCGATGGTGAAAGAGGATTACCTCATCCAAGCGGGTGAAATTAGTCTGATCGCAGTGCTGCTGCTGCTGCTTTGCATATTGTAACCATCTGTGTCTTTGCTTTACGGGCATGAGTGGGGCGCTCATGCCTGTGGGGGATAGCTGTGTACAGCATTAATGTTGGGATGTCGTGGTTTTACATTAAAGATCAGTAGTGGAAGAAGTGTGAACCTGTTCAAGAACCTGTGTTGGATGAAAGAGTCCAGCACAGCATTTAAAGCCACTACTCTGTTGTGAAATGGGCCCTCGTGGCCTGAAGGAGAGGCGACATCCTCTGCAACAGTGACTTGATCAGCTTGCAGCAGAGAAACTGGACTTGAAACTGGGCTAGCTGGTTAGCAGCATCTGACCTTTCAAAATAAGAGGTGGGATCCAGTAATCCCCAACAGTAAAAATCTTTTGTAACATTTTTTGGGCTGATTCGGTTCAGTGTATATAGGCCCAAATCACAACAGTCACCTCAGCACTTTAGGTAAAGACTTCACGCTAATACAGATAAACCCAAATCAAATTCCTCCTGATTGTTGGCAACAGTGGGAAGGAAAACTGCCTTTTAACAGGAAGAAACCTCTGGCAGAACCAGGCTCAGGGAGGTCAGACATGTGCTGTGACAGGGTGGGAGGCTAAAAAATAAAAGCTAAAATAAGCTGCAAAATATACCTGGACATCTATTAGTTACAGTATTGCTGTCCTAATCTTTATCATTTATCTGGGTGTTTGAGTTTATTCCTCAGCTTAAGCTCTGCTTTCTCTCACTGAGTGGTGACTGTGATATGAAAGAGGCTACGATGCTTGGATTCTTATTGGGTGTTTATGTCCCAAGGCCTCGCTTAAATGCCTACTTGACACATCCTTTTTCCTGTGTGTCGCTCAGTCAGTGCTTTTTGATAATAAAGGATGAGGAAGTATTTCAGGCTTTCATCACTATATCATCAAAGTGAATGCCGCTGAGACTGTTAATGATAATTCTGTTTACATGCTCTTCACACTATAAGGTTAAGTGTATGAATTGAACATTTGGAGACTGAAGTCTTAGCAGAGAATTAAATTTTCAGATGCAGTGGTGCACAGACTTTCATATACTACGCGTTTGTGGCTTGATTGGAGAAGCGGTGACACACAGCCCTTTAACAAATGTGTTAGTTACTTAATAAAGCATTTTTTATTTAAAGTTTAATACATTTGCGAGGCATGTGGCTGAATCTTGAAATCAGCGTTTCAGTTGTCCTCATTAACAAGGCAGCTGCTGACATCTGTCCTTCACACTGGCTCACAGTGACTCAGTTGTTGTTTAGCAGGAAACAGTCAGTTTTGTAGCATCTAGCCTGTATTTGAGTGTCTTGCCTAATGAGATGCTTTGAGTTTCACAGAAGTACCTGGTAGTTGTGCCTCCTGACACAGACGTTATATCAGCAGAAAACTCTGCACCCACTGATTCTGTGATTGTAA